CGCATCCAGAAGCATACTAAAGGCGCGACGCATCGTCGTCTGCGATGGCGCGGAGCGGGCGCGTGGGTGCCCGGCTGCCTGGCTGATACACGTGCGGGCCTGGCTGATACCCGTGCGGTCCCAGATGCCCAATGAGATTGCCGATACGCCTGCTGGCGGGAAGGCCGGTGCTTGCATACGGCAGTGCTACCGCGAGCACGTTGTGGACCTGCGGTGGCAAGGCCTGGTAATCGAGCATGTTCGGAAGCTCGTCGCTCTGACCATACGACCGCCATACGGGCAACCACCACCACTGGTCTTGACGCGGATACGTGATCTCTGTGCCGACCTCAGGGGATACGTTCCAAAGGGCCATTTTCTGCGGGTCCGTACCCATGAAGGCCCATGAAGAGCGCGCGGAAGGACATTTTGACAATTTTTTCTTAAAAAACCATTGGGTTTTTGATGTTTTTATGTTAAAATCGCTACGAAACCTAAGGTTTTGGAAGGATTTCGTCTTGCGAGCGCGAATGTCCACTTTACCTTATTTTTTGCAAGGGATTCTTGAAATTTGATCAACTAAGAACAAGAATTTTCATTTTCTATTGTTTTTTGCAAGGGAAAACGAGCGTCAACAAAAAACCGGATCCGGGGGTAATCCACTTTTCTGAAGCTTTCGCAGAAAAATGATGAAAATGTAGCTGCGGCCTAGGTTTTGGGCGGGGGGCGTGCACCAGGGGGTCCAACAATAATAATTCTTTAGAAGTAATAGTGTTCAACAACAACAACAACAACAACAACAACAACAACAACAACAACAACAACAGCAGCAGCAGCAACAACAACAACAACAACAATACAAAATACACCTGGCGGCGACGGCGGCGGCTGCGGCGGCTGCGGCGGCGGCGGCGGCGGCTGCGGCGGCTGCGGCGACGGCGGCGGCGGGGGCGGGGGCGGCGGCGGGGGCGGCGGCGGCTGGCGGCGGCGGCGGCGGCGGCGGTGGCGGTGGCGGCAGCGGCTGCGGCGGCAGCGTCAACGGCGGCGGCGATTTGGCAGCGGGGGCGGCGGCGGCAGCGGCGAGCGGCGGCGGCGGCGGCGGCGGGGCGGCGGCGGCGGCGGCGGCGCGGCGGCGGCGGCGGCGGCGGGCAGCGGCTGCGGCGGCGGCGGCGGCGGGGGCGGGGGCGGCGGCGGCGGCGGCGGAGGCGGCGGTAGCGGCGGATTGGCCTCCAGTAGCTGTCCATCCAAAGACGACTGCTGAATATGCTGAGGCTCGGGCCAGACTCGGGTGATACGTATGTGTTGGGAGGGCGGGTGGGAGTGAGCGAGACGGCTTGCGGGCGAGGAGGGAGCCTTGACCCATCCCCCTGCCCCCTCCCCTGGACTTTTTTGGGGGCTGTCGCGGGTGACCGGAGGGCCCTTGTTCGGCCCCTGGGAGAGCCAATCTTTGACACCCCTCACGAGGATCGTGGCCCCCGAAGGGGGGGCCTCGATCGGGACCCTTCCTCCTGTGACCGGTAGCATCGAAATTTGCCCCAAGTGGCGCTCCAGGGCCCTCAAGAGAGCCCCAAGAGGGCCCCAAGAGGGCTCCAAGAGGGTCCCAAGAGGGCCCCAACAGGCCCCCGAGAGGCCCCTAAGACGCCCCCGAGCGGTCTCAGAGAGTCCAAGATGACCTCCAAGATGGCTCAGCTAGCCCAAGCTGGCTCAAGATTGCTCCCAAGATTCTCCAAACGGCCCCAAGACCGATCCAAGAGCGCTCCAAGAGAGCCCCAAGAAGCGGTTTGGCGGCTCCTGGGGGGGTAGCTGAGTTGTGGGCCCCCCCATCCTGTAATCGACGGCCTCCAAGATGATCCCAAGAAGCCTTCCAGGGTGACCAAGAGGGTTCCCGAAACTGCCAGAGAGCACCAGCAGCAGGAGCTGCCGCAAGAATGCATCTAGATGGTTCTATGAGTCCTCGTCCGCGTCGTCATCATCCTAAATATCGTCCTCCTCGTCCTCGTCCTCATCCGCGTCCTCGTCCTTCTCATCCTGCTCGTCCTCCTCCTCTTCCTCCTCCTCCTCCTCCTCCTCCTCCTCCTCCTACTCTTCCCCTCGCTTCCACGCGGCACCCAGGGGTGGCCCGAGGAGGCCTTCCAAGGCCACCCCCTTGCTCGCTTTGTTTCCCTAGATGTGTCTCTTCGTCCCTTTTCCCGTCATCTCTGAAGGGCAGGGTTTCTGAATGGGCTGGTGGGAATACTTTTTTGCTTTGCGGCCTGCAAGGAAAAGTCCAGAGGGCGTGAGTACCGAGGCTGGGGCACAGCGCAAGATAATTAGCGCGAGAACGCGCGGAGTGCACATACAAGGACCAATTAAGGCCACGGCCGGCGTAAGCCAGCGAGGAGTCGCCCTGACGGCGCCAACTCGCGAAGAAACAGACACAAGCAGCCAGCCGCGAGACACGCACAGCCAGCACCTGTGCAGCCGCAGAGGCCAAACCAGCCGAAGGCGGCGGGAGCGGCGAGCGAACGGAAGCGCGAGCAAGCGAGGAGCCGCCCAAACGGCGCCCGCAAGCAGCGACCACTGGCCAACCACAGCACGCACGGGGCCTGTACCCGTGCAGCCGCAACGGCCAATGCAGCTGTAGGCAGCAGGGGAAAAACCGACAGACAGAGTGAACGGAGCAAGTGGCGACGAGACAGACAGAAGGAACCCTCACTCACGGAGCACCCGCTGCTCATCGAGGACCACAAGAGCACAACTGAAGAACTCCGTCGACAAGAGATGGAAGGTGCCAGGGGTGGGCAACCGACACGCACGGGGGCTAGTGGGGATACGCGCAGCGTGAAGTATACCGACCCAAGCCAATCGTATACAGGCCCTACGTGAATCGTATACGACACTTGTGTGAATCACATACAACTCCCCATGTGAATCGTTTACGAATCGTGTGTGCCTCGTGTACGAAATCATGTGGGCCTTTTACGATTCCTATGTGAACCGTGACCTGTTCCTGTACAAATCGTATGCAAATCCTCTGTGATTCGTACGCGGTGCCTATGTGAATCGTCCCGATGTGCAACGTATACTATTCCTATGTGACTCGCGTATGGCTCCCATGTAATTCGATTGCGATTCCGACTTGGATTGTATACGATTCCTAAAAAGCAGCCCCGAAGAACCCTAAAAGAATCCGAAGGAATCCCCGAGATCCCTATCTAAGGATCGCCAGGGATCTTAAGGAATGGGCCGCACTGGAATCCTGAGGGAATCCTCGGCAAACATGTGGAATCCTGAAAGGAGTCCCAAAGAACCCTGGAGGAATCCCAGAGTGTCCTGAAGAACCCTGGTGGAACCTACGACGCCCTCAGGAACTCAAAAACATCCATGGGCCGCTGAGGTCCCCGGAACCCGAAAGCGGCGAAAAACCTCCAGGACCCGTTTCCCTCAGGACCCCGATCCCTCGAATCTGGAAGGGTGTTCGGCTTCCCTCTAGCTTCACTTCCTCTTCCTCCTCCTCCTCCTCCTCCTCCTCCTCCTCCTACCCATCCCCCTCCACAACCATATTTGTATCGCCTCCCCCTCCTCCTCCTCCTCCTGCTCCTCCTCCTCCTCCTCATCTTCCTCCTCCTCTTCCTCCTTCTCCTTGTTCTCATGGCCCTCCTCCTCCTCCTCTGCCTCCTCCTCCTCCTAATCATCATCACTATCACCATCACCATTGTCAGCATCAGCATCATCATCATCATCATCATCATCATCATCATCATCATCAGCATCATCGTCATCATCATTATCGTCATCGCCACCGTCGTCAGCATCACAGGCATCACCATCATCATCAACACCCTCATCATCATAATGATAGTAATGAGCAGCATCAGCATCATCAGCATCAGCATCGTCATCATCATCAGGATCATCTTCGTTAGCACCATCATCATCAACATCAGCATCACCCTCAGCAGCATCAGCAACCTCATCCTCATCATCAGCATCGCCATCACCATCACCGGCATCATCATCATCAGCATCACCATCACCATCAGCATCACCATCATTAACATCCTCATCAATATCATCATCACCGCCACCGTCGCCATCGTCACCATCACCATCACCATCATCATCACCATCATCGTCACCACCATCAGCATAATCATCATCATCACCATCATCATCAGCATCATCATCATTCCTTTTTCTTATTCCTCGTGTTCCTCCCGTCCCCATCCTCAGCACCCCTCCCCATCCCCCTGATGGTGCTTGGTGTTTGGTGTTTAGTGTTTGGGGTTTGGGGCTTGGGGGTTGGGATTTGATGTTTTGGGTTTGGTGTATGTGGTAGGTTGCATGGCGTATGGTGCCCAGTGTTTGGTGTGTGGAGTTCGGGGTTTGATGTTTGGGGGTTGGGGGTTGGGGATTGGGGTTTGGTGTATGGGGTAGGTTGCATGGTGTTTGGTGCATGGTGTTTGGTGAATGGTGATGGGGTTTGTTGTTTGGGGTTTGGTGTTTGAGGTTTGGTGTGTGGGGTTTGGTGTTTGGGGTTTTGTCTTTGGAGTTTGGTGGTTGGAGTTTGGTGCTTGGGGGTTAGTGTTTGGTGTTTTGTGTGAGGTGTTTGGTGGTTGGTGTTTGGGGTTTGGTGTTGGGTGTTTTGGGTTCGTTGTTTCTTGTTGTGGGTTTGGCGTTTGGTGGTGTTTGGTGTTTGGTAATGATTGGTGTTTGGTGGTGCGTGCGTGGTGTTTTGGGGGGCTTTGAAGGCTGCAACCGGGGTATGGCCCAACTTTGCTGGGATATAGCCCAATACATCGGGGTATAGCCCATCCAGCCGGGGTATAGAAGTCGGCCCTGCTCCTCCTCCTCCTCCTCCTCCTCCTCCTCCTCCTCCTCCTCCCTCACTCACCCCTCACCCTTCTCCCTCCCTCCCTCCCTCCATCCATCCCCCCTCTGTCCATCCCTCCCCCCCTCCTTCTCCTCACCCCTGCTGCTGCTGCTCCTCCTCCCCATTCTCTCCTGCTCCCGCTCCTCTCCTGCCCCTCCTCCCCGCGAGCCTCGCAGGTGGCCGCGTAGTCGCTGCAGCAGTCCCCGTACTGCTGGCAGGCGGGGTTGCAGGAGCACTCCGGCCTCGGCCGGTGGTTGCCGCACCCGATCTCCCTGCACGAGCCCAGACCTTCCAGGGGGGGGGAGAGGAGGGCAGCACGATCGACACGCAGAGGAGGGGTATGAGGAGGAGGAGGAGAAGGAGGAGGAGGAGGAGGAGGAGGAGGAGGGGGGGAGGAGGAGAAGGAGGCGGAGGAGGAGGAGAGGAGGAGGGGGAGGAGGAGGGGGAGGAGGAGGGGGAGGGAGGAGAGGAGGTAGAGGGGAGGTGAGGAGGAGGTGGAGGAGGAGGAGGAGGAGGGAGGAGGAGGGGCGAGGAGGGGGAGGTGGAGGAGGAGGAGGAGGTCTTTTTCTTCCTCGAGCGCGCTGCCGCGGCTCGAGCGCTGCGCCACCAACGAGAGGCACACACCACGAGCAGACAGAGGGCCCAGGCGCGAGCGCGGCGCCTGGCAAGGCCTCTCCAACAGACGCCCGCGCACTCAGGCCACGGCAACAACCAGGGCAGAGGCCTCCTTGGCGGGGGCGGAGCAGACGCGCTCGGAGGATCGCGCCGCACCGCCGATGCATCGCCGATGCATCGGCGATGCATCGGCGATGCATCGGCGGTGCGGCGTCGACGTCGGCGGCGCATCGGCGACGTCGACGTGGAGCAGGTCGGGCTCCACATCGAGCCGCGTCGCCGATGCATCGGCGATGCGGCGCGATCCTCCGACGCCGTCTACTCCGACCCCATCTAGGCGGCCTGGACAGAGAGGCCTCCGCTGGGAGGATGCTGAGCGGACCTGCCTCCGTGGGCACCTGCCGCTGCGGGCCCGCCGGCTCCAGCAGTGAACACACAGCGTCTCGGCCAGACTCCACCGGTGCGAGCGCGAAGACCTCAGAGTGCTGCGCTGTGGCGTCATCGTGGAAACCTTGAAGGCCTCGCGAGGCCCAGCGTACGTCGGATCCCCGTCGGAATTCCGTCGGGATCATCTCGGGCTCACGTCGGGCTCACGTCGGCTTTGCGTCGGGCCCAGGTCGGAACATCGCTGCGCGAGCGTCGTCCCACATCCGCATGGGTAGACGTGTGGACTAGATGCCGCATCCAGTGCGCGCCAGGCGAGGCCTCGAAGGCTTTTCCTCCGAGGCTGCGCGTGCTGGCTGTGGACTTCTGCACACGCCAGGCACGCAAGGGGGAGGGAGAGGAGGGCGAGAGGGGGGAGGAGATGGAGGAGGAGGAGGAGGAGGAGGAGGAGGACGAGGAGGAGGAGCAGGAGGAGGAAGGCCGCAGGGCCAGGGCGCGGATTCCACGAGCGGAGGGCCAGAAAAGAGCGCCCGGGGCAGTCCGGCACAAAACGGTGCACGCCTGTGCCGAACTGCTTCCTTCGGGTCGGGCGAAAGGGGGGGATAGCAAAGGGGGGGGGGGAGAATCAGCTCGCGTAGCTGATTTTCCCGGCGCCTCCCGGCGCCGGAGGCGGCCATGCATCGAGGAATGGGCCCCTCGGTGAGGCCGAAACCAGCTGCATGCAGCAAATTTCGTAACCCCCCCTTTCCCAATCCCCCCCTTTCGTCCAGCCCGATTCCTGTGGCCTCCATGCGCAGGACACAGAGAAAGTGCCACCGGGAGGCCCTCGCAAAAAAGACCGAGGAAGGAAGGAGACAAAAAACATGCAGCTCGCGCCTCAGCGCCGGGCACGCTCGCCCCAGAAGTGCCCCCCCCCGAACAAGAATGGAGAGGGCGGCGCGTCTTCAAAATGCAACTCCCGCCTAAGATTGCCCCAAATCCTAAGAACCGAAGTTCCGCGTTGTGCAACATATACGATCCATGCTCTCATTCAGCAAATCGTTATTCCCAACGCAGCACATGCTTCTGTTGATACCACCGCGCTGCCTGGTGCATCCTAGCCATGACAAGTTGTAGATCAGAGGGTATCCCATTTGATAATTCGCATACCGATGCTTTGAGAGGATGGCGAGGAGGGAGGGGAGAAAGAGGACAGAGGAGACTAAGGAGACAGAGGAGAAGCGGGCTGAGGGGGACGAGGAAGAGAAGGAGGAGGAGGACGACGATGACGAGGACGACAACAAGGGTGAGGACGGGGAGCGAGGGATCTTCATCAGAGGCAGGAGTCCTGACGGAAGCGGGTCCTGGACCCCAAGGCTTCTCTGGAGCACCTTGACCGTCCCGGGTGCATGTGTGAAGGGCCTCTGGGAGCCGAAGGCAGTGAAGAATCTCAGGGGCTCGCTTTCTCTCGGGGCCCCTTGACGAGAGGGATGTCTCTGAAGGCCTCAACCCCGAACAAAAAGGGCCGAGTGCGCTTGAAGCTGCTATCCTCCCCATGGCCTCCGGCGACGCAGCTCGTTCGGTCTGCGGCCGGGGACCCGGGGCCCGAAGACGGAGTCCCGAGGCCGACGTCAGGGGAACGCGCCCAGATTGCAGCCATCGCCCCGCGGGATGTCTGGCAACATGCACGAGGCAGGAAGGACGCCTCCGAGCGAGTGAGGTCCGCCCACCCGATGGTCCTGCACCTCCTCCTCCTCCTCCTCCTCCTCCTCCTCCTCCTCCTCTTCCTCCTGCACCTCCTGCACCTCCTCCTCCTCCTCCTCCTCCTCCTCCTCCTCCTCCTCCTCCTCCTCCTCCTTCCCCCAAGAACCGTTTGGGCTCGAACGCGCCTTGCGCGCCTTCTTGCCCGCTCCGAGCTTCAGCGGAGCGTTCTTGTGGTCCGCTGTCCTCGCCTCGTGCAGCGGTTGCGGATTCGGAGCAAATGGGTCGCAGTGCTTCTCGGACGCGCAGCTCCACCAAGACGGTGTCCTTCAGCAACGATGGCTGGACCCGCTGCGCTGGCTGCAGGCGCGCCGAGTGTAACGTGAAGTGGGCGGAGCCTGACTGGCAGTGCAAATGCGGCCAGAAGGTCACGCCGTTCCGCCCCTCGTCCAAGAGTGGCGGCTGCCGCTGGGGCGGCGGCCAGGAATCGATGCTGCAGCCTGGCGGCTCGACTCCTTCGGCAGCGGAGGTCCTAGCGAGCGTTGCCGCTGAGGGTGAGGTGTCGGCCGAGGTCAGGACCGCGCTCGCAGTCCTACAGCAGCACGTCGGCCAGACGGTGGAGTCACAGACGGAGCGTTCGGCAGACGACACCTTTCGCAAGGCCGCGGGCGAGTGCAAAGATCTGCACCGTCGGCATCAGGCGTCTGTAGACGCGGTGGTCCGCTGCAGGAGCCAGCTGGCCAGTGCTGAGGCCAAAGAGAAGGAGCATGCGCTGCAGCTGGCGGAGGCCGAGGCCGCCAAGCAGCGCGCCGCCGCTGCCGTCGCAGCCCTCTCGGCGACCGCGGGAAGTGGCCAGGCGACAGGCGAGAGCGACGACCTGTTCCAGCTGGTGTGGGATGACAGCATCTTCAGCGACTTAGGAGAGCTCAACCCGGACGAGAAGGCCAAGATGGAGGCGCTCCAGAAGGAGCTGCACGAGGCGAAGACCAAGCTCCAGGGCACGTCATCCGAGGTCAAGGCCAAGCTAGATGCCGCCAAGGCGCTGGCTGCCCAGCAGGCGGAGAGGGCCGCCAAGAAGCGGAAAAGCGGCACTGGTCAGCAAGTGCCCGTCAGCACCGCAGCAGGAAGTTCGGGTCCTTCTGCCGCGGCGACCCCCGACGCCGAGGCGAAGGCGGCGAAGGAGGCGCAGCTCAAGGCAGCGGCGGAGGAGCTCAGCAGGGCCAAGTTCCATTCCGCCGTGCAGGCCGCCAACGCCGCCAAGGCCAAGAAAGAGTGACTAGCTGTGGCGCCGTCTGCTTGGGTCGAGGCGTCGGCCGCCGGCGGGGTTTGTAGCTCCGCCGCCGCCTCGGTCGAGAAGGCCGTTTCTTTCACAGGTGCTGGCAGCCAGCACGGGGACCTTGAGGCAACCCATCCATCTGTCCGACCAGTCAAGGGCGACTGTCATGATGCTTGTGTTCCTCATCCTGGGTTGAAGGTCGATGGCATCCTTGTTGATCGACCCCGCTTCGGTGCTGATGACGCCGAGCGCAAGTTCTTCTTCAGCAATGTTACGTGCATGGGGCCGCAGGCGTGGCAGCTCGTTCAGGACAGCTCGCAGCAGTACGACTATCTCGGCTTGGCCGAGGCGCATGTTCGCACGACGGCCCAGTTCGACGAGTGGCGCCGGTCTGCTCGGCGCGAGGGGTGGCGTTTGCTGGGCACGGCTGCCCGTTCGCACGCCGCCGACGGCCGCCCAGGGACCGAAGGCGGCGAGCGGGTGCTCACGCGCAGCCACTTGCATGCCCACCCACGCGCTGGAGGCCAACACCCCTGCTCCTCGCGCACTCTGCGCCCCGCGGAGCTCGAGCCTGGACGGCTTCCAGGCCAGCGTGCTGCACATGAAGGGCTACAGCGTCGTGGCTATCATCTTCTGCGCCTTCAGCTCGCTCGGGTGGCGCGCCGAGAACCTTCGCAGGTTCGCGCGCCTCGGCGCGCTGCTGACGGCCCTTCAGCTGCCGTGGTTCGTGCTCGGCGACTTCAACATGGGGCCGTCGGTGTTGTGCGAGCAGGGCTTCTTGCAGCAAGTCGGGGGCCATGTGTTGCAGTGCCAGGCCGCCGTCACGTGCGACGCGGGTCGTGAAGGTTCGCACGTCGATTTTGGCATCTGTTCGAGCTCGCGCATGCCGTGCCTCACGAGTTTCTCGGACGTGCAGGCGGTGCCGTGGAAGACGCACTGCGGGCTCGTCCTTGGCTTGCGCGGCAGCGGCGCGCAACTCATCACTCGGAAGCTGGTCTTGCCGTGCCCGCTCCCGCACTGCCCCCGCCCTGGCCATGGCGAGGGGCACACTCGGCCAAGAAGCGCGCAGCCGCCCAGGCGACCGCTGCAAGTAAGGAGAAACGCCGTTCATTCCTCCACGAGATGTTCGGTGACAAGTTGGGCGATGCCGACAGCGAGGGGTCCACTGCATCCAGCGACGGCGACGCCTCCCCCTGGGACTCATCCGGTGACGGGAGCGATGATGACTGGGGCATCTTCGGGGGCACCGACGCAGGAGAGTGCGCCGCCCCGTGGCACGCGCGCGATTTCCCCACGCAGCACTTCGTCGCGCCGACTGCCAGCTTGGGCACGTTCGCGCCGTCGCCGCTCCGGGCGGCCAGCCCGCCTGCTGGCAGGCCTTGCTCTTCCTCGCCGTTCGTTCTCTGCGAGTCGAGTGCAGGCCTGCGGACCTGGCGAGAGCGCTGGCGGTTCTGGCCCCGCAGGCCGACCGGGCGAGGCGGCCGGGCGAGCCACAGAGGCCCCCAGGGCCACTGATCGCAAACCGCCGGTTGTGATCAGCGGGGCTTCGGGCCCCCTGCGAGCGCCCCAAGGCGCCCCCGGCGGCCCCTCTACGGCTCGCGGCGAGGCCCCCGGAGCGGCTGGCGGCCCCGCTAGAGCGGCCAGGCCGGCCTCCCTCGACGACCCTGAGGGTGACCCGTTCGAGTTCGTCGACGACGTCTGCAGCGTCGACCTCGCGTGGGATGGCGGCGGCGATGTGGAGGTGTCCTTCGATGTAGAAGCGAACGTTGGACCTTGCGCTGGCCCCCTCCCACGGGTTGGCCCCAGGTCGGAGCTGGGGCCCCTAGCAGCGACATCTGCCAGCGTGACTGCTGCCCCCCGCTCCGATCGATCTGTCACGTTCGCATCGACGCCAGCACCATCGTCTGCTGCGCCCGCGCCGGCCCCAGCTGCGACGCCGACGTCGCCGCCGCGCAGTGCAGGCTGCGGCTTCCGGTTTGCAGTCACTCCCAGCACGTGGGCGAGGACCTCGTGGACTTCGTGCCGTGCCCGACGCCCTGGCCCGCGATCGCGGAGTCGGCCGCCTTCCACATGGGCGGCCAGCGTATCACAGACGTGAGCGGCCTGAATGCGAGGTGGGCCACGCGCGTCGAGGAGGCCTTCGCGAGGCACCACCGTGCCGCGGCGCCGAGGTCGAATGTCACGCGGGCACAGGGGCCTCATCTTGTCGAGCTGGCTGTTGAGCAGAAGGAGGCGGCTGTCACATCGTCGGTGCGCGGGGCTGCTGCCAACTGGTGGGCCCAAGTTCACACGGTCACCCAGCGGCTCGCCAAGTTCCGCAAGATCGCGCAGCCGTCGGAGGCCGTCAGGAGGGACTCGGCCGCCCGGCTCGCTGTCGTGTGCCAGGAACTCGGCCGCGCGGCGCCGAGGAAGGCGCGCGCTGCGCTCGTACTTCGCGATGCTCGCGGCGCCCCTTCGAGTGGCGAGGTTCTGGACTGGAAGCAATTCCGCCATCGGCTGCACCTGGTGCCGCGGGCGTCCCAGGAGGCGCTCGAACAGCTGGTGGCCACGGCTTCGATTGCTTTACGGCGAGCTCGAAGCCGAGCCGCGCGAGCTTCACTTCGTGATTTCCAACGCTGGATCGTGCAGGACGGCCCCAGCACGGTGCTCTTTCGGTCTCTCAAGCGTGCACTGGAGGCCGCCGTCGAGAAGCACCGCCATGATGGACACTTTGTTCACCCGCGGGACCTGGTGGACGACAAGGCCGTCGAGTGGCACAAGTTGTGGGCGCCCGGCCCCATCGACTACGAGGCGCTCGACGCCTTCCTCCTGGAGTTGCGGGGGCACCTGAGTTTCGGCGACCTGGCGCCGCTCGACCTCGACGCACTCAAGGACGCTCTCCGTCGCATGCGCCCTGCGGCAGGTCGCGTCGCGGACCAGCTGCGCCCCGCGGATGTCGAGCGCCTCCCGGCCGATGCCCTGCTCGGCCTGCTCGGCATCTTCGCCGGCGCCGAGGCCTGCGGCACGTGGCCATGGCAGCTGCTTGTCGTTGTCGGGCGCCTCCTGGGCAAGAAAGGCGGCGGCGAGCGGGCCATCGGCCTGCTGAGCATGGTCGCCCGCATTTGGAGCATGGCGGGCGAGCGCGACGTGCAGGCGTGGGCCGCCGACGCGCGCCCTGCCTGGGGCGCCGCCGCCCAGGGCAACTCGGCGGTGTTCGAGGTCTTCGTGCGCGCGATTGACGAGGAGGCGCACAGCGAGCTGGGCTTCTCCTACGCCCACGCGCTGCTGGACATCAAGTCCTTCTACGACTCCATGGACTGGGTCATGCTGCGGCGCGCCGCGTTGCGGCTGGGCTTCCCGCCCGCCATCTTGGCCTTGGAGTTGCAACAATGCCTGGCCCCGCGGATTCTGATCCGCGAGGGCGCTGCCTCCCTGGCGTTTCAGCCCGCGCGGTCCATCGTGCAGGGCCTGCGGTCGGGCACGCGGTTCGCGCGCGGCCTCGCCCTCTTCATCATGCAGCAGGTCACCCAGCAGGCGCCGCCTGCCGCCCTCCTCCCGCGGCTGTGGGTCGATGACTTGTCGGAGTCCGCAGTCGGCCCGCGGGCCGCAGTACGGCGCGGCCTTTGCAAAACGGTCATCCTGACCTGTGATCGCCTCGTGTAGGAGGGCTTGGCCGCGTCCCCCAAGAGCGTGATCATTGGGAATCGGCGTCGGGACGTGGCGCGCATGGCGAAGCGCATCAGGCGGCAAGGCTACGTGGTCACCGCCGCCCGGCGCGCCCCCTGCCTCGGAGTCGACCTCTCGGCAGGCCGTCGCGGAGGCCGCCGCACCCGCGTCAAGCGGATGACGAAGACCAAGGTCACCCACTCCAGGATCCGCGGGTTCGCTCGCGCCAGCAAGAAGTACCTCGCATGCCTGAAGCTGGAGCGGGCGTCGGCGCAGGCTGCGGCGACGCACGGCAATCAGATTCACGGCGCGTTCGGGCAGACCCGCCTGCAGCTTCGTCAGCGGCTCGGCGCCGTGGCCGCGTCCGCGGGCAAGGGCAAGCGCCTCGCCACCGCCCTCCAGCTTCGGCTCGGCGAAAGTGATCCGACTCGCAAGCTTCCTCGAGAACAATTGCCCCCTGGTTCCAGATGTGGCAGGGGTGCCCACTGCGGCGCCGGCGAGTTCAGCAAGCGTGGACTACCATTCGCGCGCGTCTGCGGGAGATGGCACCGTCGGCGCGCACTCGCTGGATACGGAGGCCGATCTCTGCCGTGCAGACGCTGCTCCTGGAGTGCGGCTGGCGCCCTGTGGGGCCGCACGGCTGGGCGCGGCAGGCGCCCGATGGGCAGCAGGAGCGCTGGGTGTTTCCGCAGGCCGAGGCGCTGGCAGACGGCTCGGCTCGCCTCCTGATTGACGCTTTCGACGACTCGGTCGTCCAGGCCCTGTGGGAGTAAGCGACGAGCCACTGGTGCGGCGAAGGCTTGCAGCTTGGCGCTGGCCTCGGGCCCCTGCAGGGCCTGTTGAAGGTGCTTGCCTCGTTTCCGCGCGGGGGAGCGGCTCGCCGAGCTCATGGTAACCGTCGCCGCCGGTGGAACGTGGCCGCGGCAGCGCCGCCTCGAAACCTTCGGCGACGTGGATGGCGATGGGGGCTTGTGTCCACGCTGCGGCCACTGCGTGGAGACGCCCTTTCATCGGCATTGGGAGTGCTCGCATAACACTGGCTGCCTGGCCTACTCTCGCAGTGACCATCTCCTGCCTCGCGCACGTGCGGAGGCCGATGCAGCTGCATGTTTTTGGCTCCGGGGCGTCACCCCCGCCGTGTGGACGGCGGTACCAGGCCCCGCGGACGTAGAGGACTGGACCACCATCGGCGGCGGCTTTGACGGCGAGCCCCCTCTTGGGCGCGGCACCGTCAGCGCGCCCTTTGCTCTGTTCGGCGACGCCAGCGGCGGCCCTGAGAAGAAGGATCCCCGCCTCCGGCGCGTCGGCGTCAGCGTCTGCCGACTGCGAGGCGGAACCGTGGAGATCGCGGGCGCCGCCTTCGGGCCACTGGTGGGGCCGCGGCAGACGGTGCACCGCGGCGAGTTGCGGGACTTGCTCTTGGCCGTCCAGCTGTCGGCAGGTGACGTCATCTTCTTCACCGACAGCCTCGCGGTTTGCGAGGGCTGGTGGCAGAGGGTCGATCAGGCCCTCTGGGCCTGACGCCGACTTGTGGCACGCGCTGGGGGCCGCCGTCGCCCGTCGGGCGCGGGCGACCGTGACGGTAGAGCACGTCAACTCCCACCTCACGGTCGACGAGGCGGACGCCCGCGGCATCCCCGGCGCCGTGCTGCGGGGCAATGCGGTGGCGGACGTGCTCGCGGATACCGCTGCCGCCGAGTGCCGCGTCGGCACCGCCGACCGTTCGCGCGTGGCCAGCGTGAAGGTTCTGGCAGGACAAGTGCGCTGGCGGCTGCTGAGGTCGACGCTGGACGCGGCCGCGGCGGAGCAGCCACGGCGGCCCAAGCGCGAGCAGCGGACCCGCGTGGCGCCACCCGCGCCCCGCCTGGTGGGTGCCTTCAGCTCGGGCCATGTTAGCGATCGACGGCCGCAGCTGCAACTCGTGCCGATGTTCGGCGTCAAGCGCGAGCCAGGCCGAGTGGTTCCGCAGCCCCTGCCACAGCCTGAGGCAGGTGACGGCAGTGCTGGCTGCGCTTGGCGGACCGCCCGAGGCCGCGGTCCAGATAGGCGGTGGAGTGGTGCACTGCACCCACCGCCTGGCGTTGCACAAGCCGCTGGACGTGTGGTTCTGCCGGGGCTGCGGCTTCTTCGCGCCCCCCGGCGGTCGGCAGCTAGGCGATGGCCTCCGAGGAGCCTGCCCCGCGGCGCCGACTACTGCCAACCCGCGGGGGCGGCCACCGACGGCCACGGGCAAGGTCTACCTGGATCGCCTGGGCCGTGGCCTGTGGCCCAAAGCGGGTCGCCGCCCAGTCGGGCGCCCCGCGGCGCTGGCTGGCCGAGCGGCCGATGACGAGACCGAGGGCTGACAGCCTGCTGGCGCGAGCCCCGCAGCGGCGGCGGCCACGCGCCGTGCGGGCGATGTCCTCGTGGCATCTCCCGGCATCTCCTCCTCCTTCCCCTCCCCCTCCTCCTCCTCCTCCTCCTCCTCCTCCTCCTCCTCCTCCTCCTCCTCTCCTCCTCCTTCCTCCTCCTCCTCCCTCCTCCACGCCCGCACGCCCGCCCCTTCGGGCCCAAGTTTTGCCCAGGTTCCCGACACCGCGTGGCTCGGTCAACCTTGAACGATCGCGGCTTCCCGATAGCGCCGCTTGCTTGACATCGGCCGACTTCCAAACGCTGGCGGGGGATCCACCTTGAGAACGTCCACGCGACGCGAACCTATCGGCGGTGGACAAACCTCCCTTTAGTAAACCGCCCTTTAGCGAAAACTGCCCAGGACCGAAGTCGACGGACCTGGACCCGCAAACATAACGACCGCGACGCCCTCTCGCGAACCGAAAGCGGCCAATGCACCAATCGACGTGTCAGGGTAGGAGGTCTATCAACCTCCGAACCTATCGTACAGTATGAGCTTCACACATGGGCAGACAGTGCCCTGGTCAGAGTGTGTGGGGGGCCCTCCCTGGGGGGGGGAACCCTGACGTCGCCCAAGCAAGGCCGGGAAGTGGCCAAGGACATCCCGGGCGCAATCCTAAGGCCGCCCGCCCTACTTGGCCTCACCCAGAGGTGCCGCGGAGCAGACCACGTGGAACCAGTCGTTGGAGGATAGGGAGGAGGCGGACGACAAATGCACACGGCGCTGAGGCCATCGCCGGATTTTGAAAATGGCCTGCCCTCCACAATTGTAACTGTTCGCGTCGCACAAACCTTCAGGAAGATGAGTGGTATAGACTCCCTAGCCTGTGGACACGTCTGCTGGTGCGACAGGAGGGAATTCTTTGCAAGCTAGAGGGATGGAGGAGGAAGACGCGCCACAGTCCTCCAGCTGTTCTACCGTATCCTGGTCTCCCGCACCATTTGGGTCAGAGTCATGTCTCGTGGTCCATGCCACGGGAGCCCCACGAAGAAGAGGACGAGGAGGAGAGACGGCGGAGGAGGAGGAGGAGGAGGAGGAGGAGGAGGAAGAGGAGGAGGAGGAGGAGGAGGAGCAGGAGGAAAAGGAGGAGAAGGAGGAGGAGGAGGAGGAGGAGGGCCGGTTGAGACAACGGCGGCTCTCAAGCCCAGTCGAAATCGGTCCCCAGACCCAGACGGGGTCCGTCCTGGTCCGTCTGTCGGCGCAGATCCAGCCGTGACGACCAAGAAAGCCTCCCGGAGCACGAAGAAGCAAACAACAAACACCAAACAATTAAACAAACAGACAGACAGACAGACAGACAGACAGACAGACACACAGACAGACAGACAGACAAACAAAGCAAACGCCAGGGAGGGCCGCCGCTCTCGACTGGGAAGGAGCCCTCCCCTGGGCGGAGGAGGAGGTGCAAGAGGAGGTGAGGTGGAGGAGGTGAAGGAGGAGGAGGAGGAGGAAGGGAAGGAGGAGGAGGAGGAGGAAGTGGAGGAGGAGGGGGGAAAGGAGGAGGAGGAGGAGGAGGAGGAGGAGGAGGAGGGGAGGAGGAGGGGGGAGGAGGAGGAGAAAAAGGAGGTTCAGGGGAAGGATGTGATGCGACCACCGTTGCGGACAGCGCCTGGGCCTGGCTCAGACCAGATGGGTGAGGCCGTGGCCTCGAGAATCTCGCTCGTCTGGACACATGCATTGCGAGACACATACAAAAAGCTAGGGGAGGAGGAGCAGGAGGAGGAGGAGGAAGAAGAAGAAGAGGAAGTCCTTGGTGTCGGTGTCGGCGCGGGCGGGGCGTGCCGTCTCGAGGAGGAGAGGGTGGAGGAGGAGGAGGAGGAGGAGGAGGAAGAGAAGAGGAGGAGCAGGAGGAAGAGGAGAGGAGGAGCAAGAGGAAGAGGAGGAGGTGGAGGAGGAGGAGGGGAGAAGGCCTCCCGCACCGCTGGCAGCCACTGGGAGCACGTCGGGCCTGCTGTCGGGCAGCGGCGCCGGCACGCTGTACTGGCCGCCGGCCCACACCGTGGCCAGCGTGGCGGCCCACTGCGCCTGGCTCTCGTGGGTCATGGTGGCGCACCAGTTGAAGCGGCCGGCGGAGGGCATTCGGTCGATCTCCCCCTCTACGAGTAGGAGATCGACTACAGAATCCATTAACCCCGAACGTGATGTTCTCGTGGAAACTGTGAGGAATGTACGTAGAATGTCCGTAGATATGCGAGCATTCTGAATCACTATCGTCGGTTCGGCGAGACTTCCAATTTGGGGGTAAATCAATTCTGCAGTCGATCTCCCACTCGACCCCTCGGCAGCAAAAGTTTGGGAACTTCGAGCTCTGGGCTCCCAGGCTCTGGTGCGTTTTGCCCCCGGGCCCCCTCGTGGCCGAGGCAGGAGCTGCCCCGGAGTCCAGGCCAGAGCACGCCCCCCGGAGGAGTCCAGGGGTCGCGTCACGAACAAACATCGCACAACGTGTTTGGTCGTGTTCGGCCTCTGGGGGCCCTCACCGGGCCTTGGGGCCATCCAGAACTCCTCAGGACGAAGAGCAAGAGGGAGAACGATAGGGAGAGGAGGCAGAGGGAAGAGAGGGCCCCTCTCTTCATTCCCTCCTCTTCCTCCCTGCCTCCTCCTCCTCCTCCAGGCAGAGACGGGGGAAGAGGATGAGGAGGAGGAGGGCCACGACGAAGAAGGCGGCCGAAATTCGATCAAGACCTGTCCTTGGACCCGTCCGAGGATTCATCCTGGGTAGGTAATAAACCTTCCATCCCGGACCGCTTCCTGACGGCTCCCTCGGCTCGAAGCGGGCCTCCAGGGACCGAAACATGAGAAAAAGCAAACACCTGAGAGGGGGGGAAAAGAAGAAAATGGCACCACTCCTCCCCGAACCTCTCCTGGAGCGCGTTCTGACCAAGATTTCGAGGCCACTCCAGCTCGGCGGCGCGCAAAAAGGGAGAGGAGGGAGGGGGGAGGGCTTCTTAGCTTCTTAGCAGGAGGCTGGTTCTTAGAAGGCGCGGGCCTTACATCTGTGGATCAGGCCCGCGCCTTCTAAGAAGCAGGGGTGCTTCTAAGCAGCCCCCCCCCCCCTCCCTCCACCCCCCTCTGCGCGTGGCTGACCAGCCGTGGCGAAGCAGGACGGATGGCGGCGTCGGCATCGCTATTCCTCGGAGAACTGCACCTAAAACTTCGACCGCTCGATCGAGGGCAACGAGGCTCAGGACGAGGGCGGCTTTGGCGCAGCACGCGACGACGTGTCGCCAGGGCGCGGGCGACAAGGGCAGGGGCGGCGAGGGCAAGGACGAGACGACGCGGAGCCTCGATCAGTCGACCGAGGACGCTGCGCCCGCTGGCGGATTTTTCATCGACCGGGTCCCGACGGCCACGTCCGCCCATCAGAAGTCGGGAGCGGCCAAGAGGGGGGGTGTCCAAGAGGGGTGGTGCAAATCATGACCGGCGGCATGTGCGCGGCCCAGCGGGGGGGCCAGGGACGTAATGAAACAAGAAGAGGCGCCAGGAAATCTGGGGAGATATCATGCCCCCCGCCATGAGATCCACCCCCCCTAGTCATCACCCCCCTCTTTTCCGCCCCCGAAGAAGACGAGGACGCAGACACCTAAAGACCACCCTTTTCAGGGGGCCAGGGCCGGGCCCCCACCCCGCAGCGTGCGAGGGCGGCCTCGGCGCAGAACGTGACGACGTGCAGCCAGGGCGTGCCGGGCGTGCTGTCGCCCTTGATGCAGTGGCGCACGGCGCCTCGCGGGCTGCGGCGGCTTCTGCCGGCGCCGCCGTCGCCGCCCCTGGGCTGGCGGCGGCTTCGAGGAGGCAGCAGGACGAGGAGGAGGAGGAGGAGGAGGAGGAGGAGGAGGAGGAGGGAGGAGGGAGGAGGAGGAGAAGGAGGAGGCGGAGCGCCCTCGAGAAAGAATCCAATCCTTATCTGGTCACTCTACGACGACGTCTGACGACAATGCCTCCAGAAGGGAGGCCAACAGCCTGCCCGAGCGGTCTTGGCGATCGAGCGAGCGACCGAGGGGGGAACGACCCGCGGATGGCATCGCGCTCCTCCGCGCGGAGAAGGCGATGCAGGACGAGGACGAGGACGAGGAGGAGGAGGAGGGCGACGGGGAGGACGAGGACAATGATGGCGAGGAGGAGAAGGTCACGACGTAGGAGCCGACGGGGTACCAGGAGAAGCGCGACCGTCTCTCCGTGGCCTCGGCCGACTTGGAGTCGACCACCACCGTGCTGCACGGCGGCGACGACGACGACGACGAAGGTGCAGAAGCGCAAGGCGTCAGGGCCTGTGGCTTCTTGCTGGCGGAGGGAGGCGGTGGGGCAGGATGGAGGAGGGCAGGTCTTTTAAATGATGATAGCTTGACCCGAAGGCGCTGCATATTACAGCAGCCAAGCTGCGCCATAGCGGGAAAGGTCAGCGCACTGCCGAGTCCACGAGCCCGTGCGGCGCAGAATCCAGAAACGCACGCCGTGAGGCGACGAGGAGGCAAGGAAAACAGGAGGAGACAAGTGATCAGAGGAGGACGGCGGAGGCAGTCCACAAGACAGGGGCGCGCTGCTCGTGGCAGCGAGCGTCGCCCCAGACATCGCTGGAGGCGCCCCGCGTAAGGGCCCCCGCAAGCGCGCGACGAACGGCCCGCGCGCTCGTGCACCGACCGGGCATTGCCGCTGGCACTCGCACCACGGACCCTGGTGGGCGGGAGGAAACCGAGCAGGAGACACAGAGGAGGGAGGGAGAGGGGAGGAGGGGGGGCGCGAGGAAGACGAGCAGAGCCAGAGCACGGCGCAAGAGAAGCATGGCAGGCAGAGTTCCTCAACAGAGTCGCGGCGTGGCGGCACCACGTCGCGCATGGACCTAGCAATGGCGGCGGGAAGGCAAGCGCAGCGAAATGGATGGGGTTGGCCGCCGCCGGTCGAATGCGGGCCCGGCTTTTACGTGTGATGGGCACCTAGCCATTAATCCCACCAGCTCTCTGGGCAGAGGTGGTTTAACGAGTTGTGTCGTCCCTCCTTCACTGCGCCCTATGAATACACACCCCCACCCTCAGACGACCGGCAGCCAACCAGGAATAGTGCCGACCACCATGGTCACGCACACCCTCCATCCCTGCTAAAAAACATACAAAGACACAATGTCTCCAAATTCGGAGCATGCGCAGCCAACCCGATGCGCACCTCCCAGCCATTCCAGTCAAAAAGCCATACAAGTCAATTGTTGGGCAAAGTCTTGCATCATGTTCGTGAGGCCCGCGAGCACGGTGTATCGTTTTTGACAGGGACTGTGGGGGTGTCACCATATTGCCTGCTGTTCGCAAGGCCACTATCACTATCAAAAACAATACAACATGCACATCGCGGCAAAATCTGGATCATGCGTGGCCACCACGCGATCACTGTCATGTGGTTTTTGGCATGGACGGCGGAAGTGGTGGCGTATTGTCTGCTGCCCGCAGGCCCACCAGACACAATGATGGGCCTTGGCTTTCGACAAGGAAGGTGGGGTCCAACATGTTTCCCGATGCGTGCTGCCACGTGCGCAGGCGTACCTGACACACTCTGCATGTGCCCCGAACGTGGCGCGCCTGGTGCGGCTGCAGCATGCGGCACACATGGCGCACGTGGAGCACGTGGCGCATCTGGCGCACCAGGCGTGCCTGGTACGCTCGGGCCCCAGGAATGCCTGGCGCGCGCGGCGCGCCCGGCTCGCGTGGCGCACCTCGCCCAAGCGTCGCGCACATGGGGTCGGTTTGGTTCCCGGTAACTGTCCATCCAAAGACGACCGCTGAACATACTGAGGCTCGGATGTTACTTATGTGTTGGGAGGACGGGTGGGAGTGAGCTAGACGGCTTGCTATCTAGGGAAGGGTGCTGATCAGTGTTCCCTCCTAGTATGCACTCCCTACCCCAGGCGACCGGCAGCCAACCAGTAACCATGAGGACACCATGCTCAGACACCCCACCATCCCTGTCTCAAAAAACAATACAAAACGCACCCTGCCTCCACATTCGGAGCATGCGCGGCCAACCTGATGCGGCCCCCTCCAACATCCCTGCCAGAAGCAATACAAAAGACATGTGTGGGCAAAATATTGAGTCATGTTCGTGAGGCCCGCGAGCACGTTGTACTGTTTTTGACAGGGACTGCGGGGGTGTCAACATATTGCCTGCTGCGCGCAGGGTTACCATCCCGAACGAAAAACAATACAACATGCACCTTGCGGCTAAATTTAGATCATGCGTGGCCACCACGCGATCACTGTAAAGTGGTTGTTGACAAAGACGGCGGAAGTGGTGGCGCATGGCCTGCTGTGCGCAGGCCCACCAGTCACAATGATGGAAATTGGTTCTCGACAAGGAAGATGGGGGCCGACATGTTTCCCGATACGTGCTGCCACGTGCGCAGGCGTACCTGACACACCCCGCATGTGCCCCGAACGTGGCGCGCCCTGCGCGGCTGGAGTCTGCGGGAGCACGTGGCGCACCAGGCGTGCCTGGCACGCTCGGGCCCCAGGGTTGCCTGGCGCGCGCGGCACGCCTGGCACGCTGTGCGCACCTCGCCCCAGCGTCGCGCACATGGGGTCGGTTTTGATTCTCAGTAGCTGTCCATCCAAAGACGACCGCTGAACATGATCAGGTTCGGGTTTTACTTGTGTGTTGGGAGGGCGTGAGCTAGACGACTTGCTATCTATGGGGGTGTCTTGATCACTGACCCCTATTAGTATACACCCCCTCCCCCAGGCAACTGGGAGCCAACCAAGGACAATGCGGGCCCCCCACCACCACCCCTTGTAACAAAAAACAATACAAGCACACACTCTGCCTCCAAATCCGGAGCATCCGCAGCGCACCAGATGCGGCCTCCCCTCACAATCCCTGCCAAAAAAAACAATACAGAGTACACCTGGCGGCGGCGGCGGCGGCTGCGGCGGCTGCGGCGGGGGCAACGGCTGCGGCGGCTGCGGCGGTGGCGGCGGCGGTGGCGGCGGCGGGGGCGGCGGCGGCGGCGGTGGCGGCGGCGGCGGCGGCAGCGATGGCGGCAGCGGCTGCGGCGGCAGCGGCTGCGGCGGCGGCGACTCGACAGCGGGGGCGCGGCGCGGCGGCGGCGCGGCGGCGGCGGGCTGCGCGGCGGCGGCGGCGGACGGGCGGCGGCGGCGGCGGCGGCGCGGCGGCGGCGGCGGGCGGCGGCGGCGGCGGAGGCGGCGGCGGCTTCGCCCCCAGTAGCTGCCCATCCAAAGACGACTGCTGAATATGCTGCGGCTCGGGCCAGGCTCGGGTGCTACGTATGTGTTGGGAGGGCGGGTGGGAGTGAGCGAGGCAGCTTGCGAGCGGGGAGGGAGTCTTGACCTCTCCCCATACCCCCTCCCCTGGGCCTGGGAAGGGGAGGGGGAGGGCGGGTAGCTAGAGCTTTCAAGATGGATCCAAGACGGTTCCAAGAGGGCCCTCGGCAGCCCAAGACGGCCTCCAGGATGGCTCACGATAGCCGAAGACAATATAGCCTCTCACATTCCTCCAAGAGACCCCAAGACAACCCCAAGACGGTTCCAGGTGCTCTTCGAGCCGTTCTACGCGCCCACCAAGAGACCAAACTCTTTCAAACACCGAAGGAACATCAATGTTCGTTGCCTTCTCGCGCGTTCGCTTCTGAGTTTTCAGGCCGCAAGATGGCCCCAAGACGGCCCAAGAAAGGCCTATCAGGGCCCCACGGGGGCCCCAAGAGGGCCCCAAATAGCGCCCAAGAGCGCTTCACTAGCGGCCCAGTCTTGAGCCTCCAGAGGGGGGGGAGTGGCTGAAATGGGTACCCCATCCTTTTGGGTCATGGGGCCCGAGAGGCTTCACAGACCCATCCAATGAGACCCAAGAGGGACCCAGAACCCCAAAACGAGCCCCAAGAAAGCCCGAAGAGTGCCCCAAAGAGGCCCTACTGGGACCCCAAGAGAGCTCCTAAGATAGCCATCATCGTCCTTCAAGAAACTCTCACAACAACATATCTCCAAAGCCCGACTTGTCGTCCTCATTGTCATCGTCCGCTCCTTCCCTCCTCGTTTCCTGCCTCCTCCCTCCTACTCCTAGTCCTCCTCCTCATCTTCCTCGTGCCGCATTCCTCCTCCTCCTCCCCCTCCTCCTCCTCCTCTTCCTCCTCCTCCTGCTTCTCCTTCTCCTCCATCTCCTCCTCCTCCTCCTCCTCATCCTCCTCCTCTGTTTCCTCCTCCTCCTCCTACCCCTGGGATGGTCCCAGGAGGTCGAGCATGGCTCAAGATAGCCTCCGACAGACCTCCAGGAGCCCTCAAGACAGCCTCAAGATGGCCCAAGACAGCTGAGCACGGCTCAAGATAACCTCCGACAGCCTCCTGCCGGCATGGCTCAAGATAGCCCCGAAGAGGCCTCAAGAAACTCTTCTATCGTTTCTGGATGGGATGGTGGCGATACGCAAAACGTCAAAAAATATGGGTCCTGGCGTAATTAGCTCAGAGCGGCTGACCTCAGAAGACGAGACCGATGGACATGATAGTGGTGCCCCTATGAGTGGCCCTGCCAACACCGTAAGACACTACTAATCAATAGCTTGTCCAGAAAATGACGACGTGGAGATTGACTCCGTCGCGGTGGGCACCGTGGTAGTTGTCGACCCCGTGGGGCTGGGCAGCAACGTGGCGATCGAGTCCGTCATGGTGGGCACCATCCTAATTGCACGACTCCGTACTGGTGGATGCCAACGAGCTGGTCGACTCCGTCGTGGCTGA